TAGGAGAGATGCTCCAGTCCCCTCACCATCCTTGTAGCCCTCTGCTGGACTCTCTCCAGTAGCTCTTCATCTTTCTTGAACTGGGGAGCCCAGAACTGGACAGAGTACTCCAGATGAGGCCACTACAAATTCAAATGTGTGGTGTCTTAGTGGTAGGGTTGTCTGTGAACTTTGGGACTAACGAAGCAGTGGTGTTTATTCCCTGCAATGCTGTCTAGCTTTCCTTCATGTCACCCAATGCTCCAAGACCTCCAGTCCTTCTCAGAATCTACAAATGCCTCTAGTTCTCTTCTGTGTCCCCTGCCTCCCCTCCCTAATATGCCCTGTGCTCCTTCCCTCCTACAAAATCCCATTGATACCCTATCGGTCATTTTTGGCCTGCTGGCAGTAGGAGCAGGCTGTTTGTGCTGACCAACAATCCAGCTGCAGTCCTTCTCACATTAGGACCATAAATAAATAATGCTTAATTCGTAATTTAGTGTCCTAACTTCAGGCACTTCTAGGCTGCAGGAATTATCACTTACCTCAGAGAAGAGGGATGTGATATTTGTCTTCCTACACAGATAAATGGAAGGCTGGGGAAAAGAGAGACAGGGGGAAGAGAGCACCTTTTACAAGGTGTTGTGGGAGTAATTCCCGAAGAGTGCACTGCATCTTAACTATTGCATAATCAACATATTCGTCTACTTTGAGTTGGATACATCATTGCTTCCTAGCTGAATTAATCAGGAACTATTGTATTTGGTGGCAATTACTATATCATAAGCTCACTAGCAGGAGTCATAGGTGTTTGCTTAGTGCCTTTTTTTTTTTTTTTCATGCTGTCAAGCCAATAGCAAAACTAGTAGCTTCAGTGGAAAAGGTTCAAACGCTCAAGGAGAAAGCAGGTACTATAACATGACTGTTAGCTCTTGCTGCAGCAATTGCCTTTCTACTGCTGTGAGCATTGCAGCAGCTGCTGGGCAAGTACAGGCACTTTCAATATCAGCAACATCTCATATATTTCTGAACAGCACCTATGGATGTTCAATGTTGCTTATTGCTTACTACAATAGACCACCTGATGCTGATTTTTGTTAAAGCTTTTGGGGGGTTTCTTTATGAAGATGAGACCTTCTCAGTGCCCAAGCTGCTGGAATAGCATTCCCTTCAATGTGGGCAGTCAGGACTGCTTAGAAACACACAAAATAAAAAAAGGGTACGATTAGAAATATTGATTTGGCTTTTGGCAGATCAGCTGTATCCTATTTCCTAATGTCAAGGTGATATCTGAATGTTTTACAAGTTTGTCTTCTGCCTAGTGTACTTTCTGATGCAGGAAAAGTACTAGGCAATATCATTTCCAACTCTTTTTCAGTGAAAGATGGTATGTTTGCTCAAATCTACATAGAAATTAAGTGAAAAGCTTTTCCAGATTAAATCCACATTTCTTGAGGACCTCATAAAAAGTGATCTGTGTGTTGTCAAGCATCTCAAGCTGATATTAAAATACTTGAAAATTAAGTTTCAAGAACAGGTTTTTTTTTTTACATGTGTTTTTGGGCACTGCTGTGTAGAACATACTATATGTCTTGAAGTGAAAAGCAGTCTTTTGTGAATGGCTTCCAGTTCTATAGAGATAGAAAGTGGGAGGCCAAACAATAATTTTTGTCTATTATGGGTGTCTGTATTTGAAGCAGTAGTTTGAGAAAGATGCAGCTCATCTCTTGACAGGAAGTCTTGTTATGTACCACAAATCAATCCAGAGATGTGCCTGGATGTGGCTTTCAGCTGCTGCTTTTTGTTATCTCTTTGTCCCCAGGATAAAAAAACTTAGAACTCAGTTGCTTGTGAAGATACTTGGGTCTTTTAATAGGATGGCAAATTTCAGTCAATGTAGCTGTAATTAGCTACTGTTAGGAGACAACTGGCCTTTGATAGATGTTGCATATTCACTTGGAACTGGTGATTCATTGGATATTGAAATGTTTTCTTTTGATGCAAATGTCTTCTGTATTGAGTTATTTCTGGGAGACAGCTGTAGGCTGCAAACTAGTGTTTATACCATATTTTATTATGCTGGATACTTCATTAGTAAAAGTAAATCTTTTTGTTCTCATAATGCAGAGCACCATCCAGATTGACATGAAGTGCATCTGGAAAGGCTGGACAGAGTGGGGTATAATTCATAATAAAAAAACAGGTTAGCATAAGAGTTGGGATTTTCTGTGTCTTACTGCAGATCATGCTCTGAATTTAGTTGTTCCAGAACATTTGTTGGCTTGGAGCCAAGGCCTGTTGTGTCTGCTACAAATGCTCACCAGAATGGTGCAATAAAAAGGAATTTTAATTTGGGTCAACCATGAATGTAAAATTGTGAGCTCTGTCATTAGCATGCATATATGGCACAGGACTGCTGGAGTCGTCTGTCTCATTATCATCAGGGCTGTGCTGGCTTGTCAGCCACAGTATACTTTTCCAAAATGAGCTGTATCTAATGATCTGTATTTTGAGTAATGAAGCATATGTTGGATAAAATTCTTACATGTTTGAGACTGCATATGATCACTTGGCGTGATAAATTGAGGATTGCATCCTCCTTGTTTTCTGGAGCAGTAATAACCACAAGTTCAGCTCTCAGTGGATCTTATTTTTTGTATGAAAATGGGTGTAATGATTTAATGTAATGATGTGGGGATTCATTTAAGATTTTGTTTTAGATAAGTGAAACTTCTGTTGTGAGCTTTAAATTTTGTCCTATTCTGTTTCTGGCTAGGTAATAGGTGAGGCATGAAATGCTTGGTATCATATGCCAGAATTCTTGGGGTGAGTGGGTCTACATTTTTTTTGAACTAAATCAATTTGCTAACCACTACTTACGTGCTATTGTGTTTTATATATCTGAGATTAATAATATAGGTTGCCTCTTACTGTTTAAAGAACAAGGAGTACCTTTTCTGTAGTATTCTGTCCATGGGTTCCGTGTTTGTAGTTTAAGGGATGGGTCTAGAATACACAAATATATTAAACAGCTGCATGGAAATAAAAATCTTGTAAAGGTTAATGGGATAACAGAGTGTTCACAGAATGGGAAGTAAGGTGCCCAGTAATAGTAGTATGATGAGGACTTACTGGGATAGCAAAAGGTGATCCTGCAAGACAAATGAAGAGAGCTACAGCCTTCATGATTTCAGATCTTGTAGAGGACAATATTTAATGGTACAGTGGTAGGGTTTAGAGGTGTCCCTTCTGCAAGCAACATGAAAAGAAATGAAGTTAGGTTTTGGCCATAATGGTCTACAAATGACAGATGGAAGCAACGTAGTGGCTGCTGTAACTTGCTTAGTCTGAAGACCACAAAATTTCCATGCAGTGTGCAGTTGTATGTGAACTCAGGTGTTAGACCAGCTTATCTAGAGGACACTTTGGTCTTCATTCTTTTACAGGGATTAAGCTGTATGCTGTGTTCACAAACTCTAGTGGTGTTACTGAAAGGCAGAGTTATGAATGTGCTTAGGTTCAGGACTGTAAATCTTTATCCACTCTTCTGAGATACTTCGTGAGAAATGTCCCTTTTTATTTAGTTCTGAGATAATGCCTGTTTGGGGCATCCCTATGGCCAAAGCGTCTCCTGGCTGTTCTCCTTTGTGGCTGTAGTAGGAAGAATTAAGTGGTGAAGTTCTGCTCAGTGGGTCTCAAAGCCCAGAAATGCTGCCCAGGCTGCTTGACGGATGGGTGCAGTCCTGTTTTGGAAACAACAAACCCAAGTCTGCTGTGCAGTAGTGTGTGAGACCCATGGCTGAAGAACATGCGGTGCATTAGGAATTTCTTCAGTCTATGCTAATATCCTCATCTGAGTGAAAGACAGGCAACTCATTTTTAGCTCGGACGTGACCAGCAAATTTTCTCATGTTTTGCAGTGCACATGAACTGGAAGTTTCTATGGCTGTGGCTGTTTCTA